ATCGGCAAGGCGGCGCATATCCCCGAGGAGGAACTGCGAAAAGCGGCCGATGGCGCCGAGGAGACCCTCGCGTGGGGGCTGGCCAAGGTGCAAGAGTTGATGGCGGCACCCAAGACGGTTGATTCCGACCTCACCCCGACGACGCTCGAAGCCAAGGCAGATGTTGCCAAGGCGAATATTCACGCCATCTTGAGTCGCCCACCGCCGCCGCCACCGAAGCCTGAAGAGGCCTCCACCGCAGCCGCGGAGAAGCAAAACGAAGAGGAACCACAGAAACCGACAAATGACAAGTCCCCCTCAGCGAAAGAAGGTGAATCCAGCGACGCGACGCACTCTGAGGAGAAGGCTTAAAGGAACGTAAACACTTTGTTTATTCGTTGTCAACCCGAGTAAGGTGAGGAGGGGGGATGTGTTCGTGAAAATAGGCGGTTTTATTTTTTGTTTTCCCTTTACCGTTCCTATGTTTCACTTAAAGAATAATATTAAAAAAAAATTCCTGTTATAAAGGAGCTAAGTAAATGTGATTTTAGAATAATATTAGCACCTGAACCAGTGATAAAAGAAAAGTGCTTAGAGGTAGGGGGTTATTTGTTCTAGCGAATGAATTCAAGGGGCGACAGGCTTAAAATGCAGCATGATTTTGAAAGAGGAAAAGAAGTCAAACCTTGTAGGAAAATTTTAAAAAGAAAAAGAAAACCCATAGGTAGTGTAGGTTTATAGAAGGAGGTAACGGTACATGGATATGTGCGATATACCTTATTGCGAAGTGATTATCTCAGCACGTTCCACATGAGAGGAAAGGCTAAAAAGGCAGTATGAATTGTTAAATCCACTGATTTTATTCTAAATGTATGACAACAGATAATCCTAAAATCTGATCGCCCCAGCATCATGTCTCTTACGGAACTAGAATTGAAGGAAAGCTGAATACTTATTATCCCCCTTTTATTCACTAAATATGGTATTCTTGGACTGTTACATATATTTGAAAAATTAATAATGTTATTACTATTATTATTATTTTAATATTGCCACTAATTTGCCTATTGTGTTCTAATTTTCTTTAATAAATAGGATGCCAAGAAGTCAGTCTTTGAGTATAATAAAATGTGTATTGAAGAGGAGAAAGCAATAACTATTTGAGTTTGATTTCTATATCTTAACTATTTCAGAAAGCACTATTATTATTATTATTATTACTATTATCAAATTATTTGAGTGACAGATCTAAATTCTTGAGTCTATATTCGATATGGATTCATTAATTTTTATTGTATATTGCCTTGTATGGTCTTGAACCTAACTAATGAACATGGTAAGGATACTTAAAATTTGATGTAAATTCTTTCATTGCGTGCTCTGTATGGAATATCTCATAAGAGATTAACAGGAATAACTACTAAAACTGTATTTGCATTAAAACCTCAGTCCTTGGCACTACTCCGTTCTTCCTTTCCTTTCACCCCTCTTTTTTATTATTTCAAACTGCAGATTCGAAAGTGAGTATTCACACATTTTTTTCTCAATATATAAGCTTAAAAAAAAAATCTATATACACTAAAAACATACCCTATTTGAGATGTTCCGCAGTGCCGTTCGCACACTTCTGGCGATGAAGACGGTCCCTCTGACGCCGAAGGTTCCCTTTCAGCTCCACACAGCGGACCGCACCGACCTTGCGCCCCTCCCCACCAAGGCCACCTACGACCCCGAGGGCCTGAAGAAGAACCTTGAGTTCATCCTCACCACCCGCCGCATGGAACTGATGTGCGACCAGTGCTACAAGCTCAAGAAGATCCGCGGCTTCTGTCACTTGTACATCGGCCAGGAGGCGATCCCAACTGGGATGGACAACGTCCTGACACGGGACGACTGCGTCGTGACGTCCTACCGCGACCACAGCTGGTACCTCTCCCGCGGTGGCACCCTCGATGAGATCTTCTCCGAGCTTTTCGGCCGTAGCACGGGGGGCAGCAAGGGCAAAGGCGGGAGCATGCACATGTACATGGTGAAGAATAACTTTTACGGAGGGAACGGCATCGTCGGAGCGCAGGTCCCGCTGGGGGCGGGATTGGCGTGGCGGTTCGCCAAGGAGAATCGGGATGCCCCCAAGAACGTCGCGGTTACCCTCTACGGGGATGGGGCAGCGAACCAGGGGCAGGTTTATGAGGCCATGAATTTTGCTGCCCTCCAGCGGATACCGGTCATTTTTTGCGTTGAAAATAACAAGTATGGAATGGGCACGAGCACCGACAGGGCAAGCTTCATGAGCGAGTTCTACCGCCGTGGGAACTACTTGCCAGGTCTGAAGGTCGACGGGATGGATATGTTTGCCGTCCAGGAAGGAACTCGGTGGGCAAAGGAATACTGCCTCTCTGGAAAGGGTCCCATCGTGATGGAGCTCGACTGCTACCGGTACGTCGGCCACAGCATGTCAGACCCCGACAGCGTCTACCGCCCCAAGTCTGAGGTCCAGAGCACCAGAGATGAACGTGACTGCATCACGAACCTGAAGGAATTCATCATAAATGCGGGTATCATGAAGAATGAGGAGATTACTGAAATGGAGAAACGAATTAAGAAGGAGGTGGATGTGGCTATGAAGAAAGCCGAGAAGGCCCCCGTACCTGCCATGAGCGAGCTTTTTAATGATATCTACTCAGACCAAAAGTTCCTTTTCCGCACTTGCCAGGGCGACGTATATAAAGTCGCTGGTAGCTAGAATGATTGGAAAGTCTAGGTTGTTGTTTTGTCTACTTTTCTATGTGAAGAAATGGATATATAAATGAATAAAAAACGAACCTGATTGTAAAGATAAAATAATATATATATATATATATATATATATATGTATAAAGAAGGAAACTATAATGAAAAAGAGCAGCATAATGTACGACAAGCCGCACGTTATGCTTTCGGTATGTAATATATTGAAGAGTTCATATTGTGTATGTGAACTCTTCAATATATCACAAAGGAATATCAAGCTGCTAGTTCAATTCTTTTCCACCTTTTAGTCAATTATTTCAAACACAATGAACAGAATCTTTGTATTTTCAAAAAATAAAACATGTTGGACCTATAAGATATATATGTATATTTATATCTATAATAAAAATAGGCTTATACATATGGAAGGATAAGTTTTGTTAAGCGAAAAGTGTTCTCTCTATAGTAAGTGATAGAGTCGCAACGCGGCTGTTATACAATGAAGTGTAATTTTTTATTCTGCGTGATTTGGTAGACGTGCACACAGAAAGTTGAGAACGATGAAAAGAACCATTTCTAATTTTTTTCACGTTTGGCGGGGTCGCATTCTTTTCAGCCTTGCGATTTTTTGTATTATCGCTACTCCTGCGATACATCTTCTTACTGATTCGGCTTAATGCGTTAAGTATTCTTTTTGGACAACTATTCGCACATAGCTAGAAACGCGGTATTGAATAGATAATAATGAAAATAAGGAGATGATTATGCTAATATTTATTAATTTGACAAGTAAATTCGAACATTTGTTGAGGATAAATTACTATCATTTCTTAGTGACGTACAATTTTTCCTTTTATATTCCTTCGTTAAACTTTGATCTCCCACAGGGAGTATTGGGATGGGGAGGGTGTGCACTTTGTCTCTATAAGGGGCTCCATTGTCATGGGGTTTCCCCTCTCTTTTTCTCACAGCTTTTAGAATGCTATTATTCTCGAACTACGCTTTTTTACTTCACCTCCTTTTCTTTCCCTCCCCTCTACATAAGACAAACTGAATAACGTGAGATCCTCCAAAAGGACCTAACACTGACAGGGGTGGATTTTTTCAGAGCAGGCTGAACTTCCTGATTTTCGGAATGTGGTCTTACCAGCACGTTTATTGTAGTGTTGGGGGTAGAATTCGCGGACGCGCGAGGCAGCCTGTTCTCTTCGCATCGTTTGGCAATATTCGAGACCCTACAAGGAGGGGCGCACTTAGTTTTAGCTTTCGACATCAAATTACCGCCCCCACGAAAGTGTATTTCAGAGGTTGGCGTGAGAAGTCTCATTTGAATCATCGTTCTATGCCGAATGGCCAAGGCGAAGTGAATCCTCGTAGCAGTCAACCGCACGGTTTCGAAGGGGGGATTTTTTCACTACGTAATTTATTCCACGGCGGTCGTCGTGGTGGGGGCCGTGAGTCTTATGGTCCCACAAGTAATGTAAAAGTGCGTACCGACGACGTTTACTGCACTCGGGGGACTTTGGCAGCTCCACGGTATACCTTCTGGCAGCATTTACGCCGAAGTTCACGGAACAAGATGCCATTGAACCCTTTGCACAAAATCAAGAAGTGGGATGATATCGAGATTCCAAAAGATCCAACAAATAGAAGCACCACACGCTTTTTGATGGCTATTGAGGAGATGTTTGGCAAAGCCCAGAAACGTGGCGAAGAGTTCGCCATTCACCTTTCCGAAGACCAACGGAATGAAATTTTGATGCAGTACATATCGACAAAATGGTGGGGTCGGTTATACTACCCCTTTCGCAATATCACCGATAAACAGATCCGATGGTCTAGTCGAATTGCACATGTATTGATAGTGGTGTTTTTCTTATTCACTTTAGTGATCATTCTTTTCATGTACTTTCAGGAAGTACGGATTGTGGAGTTGCTGTCGCCGGAAGATCGGCGGGATTATATTCATATCATGAAAGGCATGCGTATAAGTGAAGTCCAGAAGCTAAACGATGAGGTCTTGACCAAGGAGGATCCACTTATGGCACTTTCACCCGTGGATCGTTGTCGTTTGTTTATTGAGGCTGCGCGTCTGAAAAATTGGCATCGCATCGACTGGGAGGTGGAGTCTCGCAATCGTTACCCTAACTCGGCTCTGGACGACTTAGATTATTATCACTTGATATATTGGATGTGCATGACAGTGGGCAGCGTTTTAACCGGTGGCTCAACATACTTCACAGATACGTTTGGTTTGGCAGAGAGGACGAAGAAGCTTGAGGCAGAGTTCGCGTCGGTTGAATTGGATCCTAAAGCCTTACCCGAAAGTAACAAACCAGAGTTCTGTAGGTCTAGTCAAGGGTATTGTAGACGATGCCGATAACGCTTTACCCTATATTATTATTATTCTCTTGTATACGATCTATCGAGGTTCTAGCGAAAAAATGAGAAAAATTTTATGCAGGTACACTGCATGACTCTTTCACTGCTTTTTTTTTATCAGGCTAGGTGATTATCCTTGAAATAGGGGAATTGATTTTTTTTTTTATCACAGTATTTTTTAATTATTATTTACTTCACAATGAAAATATAATCGTTTTTTATTATTATAGAAGGAACGGGACATGTTTCTTCGTGTTCATACCCTACTGAGTTTGCTAAAGCAACGTGCGAGGTGATTTGTAATCTGTGCTTGTTTTCGAAAACATTACTCAGTAAGTCCTCATCCAGAGGAACAAAAAGAGTGAATGATCTCAATCGTATAGACAACCCCCCCCTCCTCCGCGAAAGGAAAAAAAATCAACACAACTCTATTTATTCCCGCTCTTTATTTTTCTCATTTATCAGTATGTAATACTCACCTACGTTCTACCCTTGTTACACACACATGATACAAAACAGCTCTGTGAGGATGGGGGGAGCACGCCGGGGAATCACCTGGGGATGCAGCACCCTACGAAACCCTTGTAGGACATTCATCACGCTGTGGGTGATGAGCCATAAACAGCTGAACGAAACCTAAGCCGTTTTGCCATATCAAGTCCCGTCTCGTGTCTCGCCACGGCACGAGTGTCTCGCGCGCGCGTACGGTGTGGGGGTGCGCAGCCATGATCAGGTGCGCAGACTGCATCGTGCACACCTTCCTTGCGGAGGAGCAGCACATCATTCTGCAGGCCCTCACTGCCCACGCTAAGTTCCAGTATCGGAGGAAGCGCACCATCAGCAAGCAGAAGAAGAAAGTCGAGTACACAAACGCCATCTCCAAGATGATCCTGGGTAAAACTATCACGGAGAAACCCGCTGTCAAGAACGTAGTCGCCTTGTGTGCCCCAGTTGGCGCCAAACTCGTGAAGAGGTAATGTTTCCGTAAAAAATGTGGCATGATATGAAGCGTACTTTCTTTGGAAGCAATGCAAACTTTAGTCATATCATTCTTTTTCTCTGTGGCATACAAGCCTGCAATCGTGAGGTTTGTTGTTGGCTCAATAATTCTTCTTACAAATGATTTTCAATGACATTCAAACTCAATGGGAAAGGGTGAAGGGAGTTGCCAAGTCAGGATCCTGTTCCCTTGAAAAAGATAATGCACTACAGGTTTTGCTTCCATATGTGCTTTCGAGGATGTCAACCAACCAACGCGCATGTGCTTTTTCTTTACGATTTTTTCTTAAGCGTCTTCTTTTCTATGGGGCATCCTTCTATTTTTTTTTCTTTGTCTGTTCGTTTTCCTCTATAGGTATTACGATTATTTGTTGACATTTTTATTTTATTCTATAAGAAGCACGTGTTGTTTATATTTTGGAAATTGACATAGTTATCTTACATTTCTTATTACTTGTCCCAAACGTTGTACAATTAGTGGGCAAATTTCCCTATTTTTTCCTGCCCTTTTTTTTCTCCGCTTCTGTGCTTGATCAGCCCTTTTCCGAAAGGAAATGTTAGCTTCTCAAGACTCTAACTCCATTTCTATCCTGACCGCTCACCTCAAGTCTGACAGCTTAACCACATCAGCGAAGGGATGTGCGCAGGCGGGGAACCACACTGCAACGCTTCCGGCATCTATTAAAACTATTGTCAAGGCCTGCAATGGCACCCTGAGCGATGAGGAGGTTTCTCAGCTGGGAAAAGTATCACCAGGGACACGCTGTGATGCCCTTCGCATGCTTTTCGAGGGCAACGATCCTAATACCATCGCTGCGTATTTACTTTCCAAGGCACGCGACGTGGATTCAAGCACAAATAGTTCAACATTGATGAGATTGGTTTCTAGGGTGAAGTTACAGGATGGTATTGTGGATAGAAATTTACAAACAAAGTATCGAAGTGAATTCGAAAATACTCCTAAGCCTATACAATTGGCACAGAAAGGTGGAGAAGTTACCGCTTATAGATGTAAGGGTTTGAAACATACTGTAGGGGATGTTACACCCATTTACGGCACCAGCACGTCTACTAAGTCCAATCACTATTATCCCAGTCCCTATTCATTGAATACCTTGGTTTCAATTTCTACGCTTTCCACAGGCGATAGAATGCGATCGATTACCGCGCAGGTCCAAGGGCCTTCACAACTGCAGTCAGAGAGAAGCACACACAGCTCCGGCATTACCATCACCACCACGCCAAGTACCTTCGCCCTATTTCCTGAAGTGGAATCGTCGAGCGCTGAGGGCTCAGAGTCACATTTACTGCAAGACGGGGTTCATTCAAACCTGCAGAATTCAGGACCTCAAGCCATATTCAACTCTCAAAGTGATGTTAGGGTCTTCCATAGTCCAGAGGTGGTATCTAAACCTGCTGCCCCCCAAACTGTTTTTACTAGTAGAACCCAATGCTGTGCTTTGCTTTCAACGCAGCCGGAGAAGGATTTGTCAGGTCGCTTTCAGTGTGTTGATACAGGAGTCCATAAATCGAACCCTTCGGAGAAGGCGCGTGAAGAGTCTCCAGCTGCTCGGCCGCCACAAGATGCTCAGATGATTATTCAATATATCGATGATCCAAATTACAAACAAAATGGAAAGACAGTAGTTGACTATAATGGATCCGGAAGATGCGACTCTTTTTTTGAGTCAGGTGGGAGCGCAACACAGTCTAGAAGTAGTTCTTTACCAGAGTCTACCGACCACAACAAGGATGCTAATGACCACTTAGAGGTCCGCGATGCGCTTGTACAGCCGTTGGAGGAATCTGGTGCTTTCTTTCAACAGAATCCTGGACTATCACACCCTCGGTTAGCTGGAAAAACTACTGAAGGGGTCTCGTCTGTGTGTGGTGGCGGCGCTATAGATTCATCTCACGAGGATGCGCCTTCCAGGTGCGCAGGTGCCGTCGTTATGGTCCCATTGTTAAATTTGAGAGGTTTTAAAGAATCAAACACTGAACGGCATGCCCGTCCACCAGCACAGCACCAGGGGACTCGAAGCGGTACGCAGCCGTACATCAACTGGACACGAAAGGGCGATGAGCGGTTCCTAACCCCACCCCGCCAAGCCGTAGGGCGGCACGGCACCGCCTCCATCACCCCTAGGGCCTTCCCCAAGGACAGGCAATCCGGCGGTGTGATTCACGTTCACTCCTCCCGTCTGGTGGCCACGACCCCACGCCCCGTCCGTAGCCCCTGCGGCGTCTTACAGGGCCGGGCTGAAGGGGGTGGGATGGCCCGTCGCGTGGCGTCATCCGCCTGGCCCAGCCCTTCCAGCGGCGGGACGCCCCGCACGCCGCGTTCGGGGCGGCCTGGTGCCCGGTTTCACGCTGTATCGCCTGGGTCGAACGGTAGAGGCAGAAAGCACCAGCCGTCAACTGGAATCACTACCTTTCGTTCGCCCACATGGCAAGAGTCACTGCGGCAACGTACGGTGGGAGATAACGCTTTTCGTGCGAGCCGCGCCCTTGAAAGAAATGGGGTCCATGACCATAACTTGTGTCGTCGTTCCAAAATTGATACCTCGAGTGGGAACTACAAAAATAGGTTTGTACGCAGTCATACGGCAACAATAGAACACACAGCTAGCTACCGTTTTCGCCAAACAGTACTGAACGCACCGCTCGAGAGGTATGGGAGTGTGTTTCATAGAGGTATGTCATCTGCTGGTGTGTATCCTTCCTTGGGTGACTATGGTGATACCTTTGGGCAAGTTTGCCGTGACCGCCCAACGCACAGAAACCCGGCGAAGGCCACCTTGAGATCTGCTTCAGCTTTTTCTCGGAACAGCACAACACACAACGCGGTTGTATCACAATATTCACAGACGACTCCAAGGGGAATTGCCGGCGGAAGTACTTCTTCCACTAAGCGAAACCTGAAGCGCATTGTGTTAATGACACGCCACCCATACACGTTAGACGGCAGTGTAAGCTAAAAACTATCCAGGGACTTTATCAGCTGCAGTAGAAGACTGGTGATGGTCATGACTAACTCTCCCAGTCCCATATTAATGTGAGTGAATCCAGCACTTTTTCCCCATGATGATTGACTCGAACAAAAACCCACTCCGCAAAGTAGCTCACTTTTTTCTACTTATACATCAGTAGAAAAGATGTGGTAGAGGATGTTTGTGTCTTTATCCAAGTAAAATTTATTAATTCTTATAAGTATATAATATTTAACCAAGCCAATTCAGGAATTTTTTCTGACGATGAATATACTAATCTAGAAGATATACCGCGTTAGACTTAAAAATTTTTTTTCCCTAAAACATAGATTTATATGGTTCATTATTACTCAACAACAATAAAACCTATACTTTTGACTGAAATTCAAGCAGTTAAAATTGAAAATCTTCGTTCAAATACTTGGTACTTTACCTAGAGTTCGATGTTGAACTTTCTCTCCTACAATGAGTCCCTACACGTCAACATGATGAACTGTATGGATATGTACTTTTTAATATTATATGATTTGACTTGTTGATTTTCCTTTTCTAAAGTCTTTTCAAATGTTTCCACAGTTCAATGGGGGTTATTGAGTTAAGGAAAGGAATAACTTCTTGGGACCGCGTTGCTGAGCAAACGCAAGTTGTCACAATGATGAATAAACCAAATGAGGTCAAGATGCAATTAGAGGTAATATTCAGGTTTAAAGCGTGTTTTTATAAGATATATTTTTTGTCTCCGTTTTGACTTTTCCATTTTATGCAACATCGAGATATATATATATAAGAATAAATGATAATTACTTGTTATTGTCAAAACCGTTTTGAAGGTGAAAAAAAGGGAGGGATATATATTTCTTCCAAGTACTACATCACTTTTTTCTTTTAATTAGTTGAAGCTGATTAACGAAAAGGTCAAAAGGGAAAGGAAAAACTTGCGCCGAAACATAGGGTCTCTGTGAATAAAAGTTAACTAATTTTATCGGTAGGTCTTTATCTCGACTATAACTATCATCACTATATACTAAGATCATTGACAGAAAGCTGTGAAAGGCGTATAAGGCTTCACTTAGTTTCCATCACTTTATTAAAATATAACATACTTGCTTAGAACTGATTAAAATTAGCCAAGCGTTTGTTTTGCACGACAGTGCAAACCGGTTCTACTTTCTCTTCTAGGGCAAACTTCCAAAGATCCTGAAAGATGTCCGTATGGAAGCTGTCCAACGGACCCGACAGTGCCGTTAACTTTTCTAGCATCGACTGGGCCACCAACACTGGTGACTTGTTCAACCCCACTAACCTGGACACCCAAAATGACCTGCTTACAGCCGACCCGCGCGAGATCCGGCGCGCTGAGACGGCCCCGATGATCCTGACCATCATGGCAGTCGACGGCTCCTTGTGCGTTGGCGGCCTTGAGAAGGAGGTGGCCCCCGGCGAGGAGTACCGCTACGCCGAAGAGTACCATCGGCTGTACTACTCCAAGACGCCTCGGGATCCACGGATGCTCCCACCGCTCACGCGCCACCGCGCCCCGAAGGCCCCCTCGACAAACCATGACCCCACCACCAGCCCTACCCCGAAGGTCGGCGGCGCGATCGGGGAGGGGGTCGGCGCCGCCACGAAGGATCCGGAGGCAAAGACGCCCGTGTTGGAGACCGACAGCCCCCCGACGGCCGAGCCGACGACAGCCCCGCGTCTTACCGAGTACATCGAGGCATCTCGCCCGGAGTGGGATTATGCCGCGATCAAAGGCCACATTTTTGAGTTCAGTCGTGATCAGGATGGCAGCCGCCTTGTGCAGAGGTTGATTGAAAAGTTAGATAACCTCGTCGAGATCACTAACGAGGTCTTCGCTGACTTTGAGGCGCTGACGACGGATGTCTTTGGAAATTACGTTGTGCAGAAGCTGTTTGATGTTGTATCGCATGTGGAATTTCAGCTTCCACCAAACCCAAAATTTGTCGAGGCTCGTTTGTTAGAGAAACTAACTGAGCAAATACGCGGAAAACTCAAGAAGTATTCTTTCCAAACCTACAGTTGCCGCGCCATGCAGAGAGCACTAGAAAATCTACGGGATACCGACCGTGATCAAATCATTCTAGAGCTTGATGGGTGTGTGATGGAAAGTGTGCTGGATCAAAATGCGAGCCACGTCGTGCAGAAAATCATTGAGGTTTGCCCTTCTAAATGCCAGTTTTTGGTGGATGCCTTTTTACCACACTTAAACGAGCTAGCCTGCCATGCCTATGGTTGCCGTGTTCTGCAGCGCACGTTTGAAAAATGCCACGCGGTGAATGGTGTTAATATTCGGCCGCTTCTGGAGGCCGTCATTGATCGCATTAGCGAATTTACCATTCACCAGTACGGCAATTACGTCGTTCAGCATGGCATGCTGAATGCCCCGGAGGACCTGCGGCATAGTATTGTTATGCAGCTCATGCCGCAAATGTACGCCTTGTCTTGCAGTAAGTTCGCCAGTAATGTGGCGGAGAAGGTGGTGGTCACCGCGAACAGCGAGGAACGTGATGTGCTCATCACTTATCTCACAAAGTCTCTCGGTGAAAATCAAGGGGGAAATTACTTGGTGCATATGATGCAGGATACGTATGGCAACTACGTCGTGCAGCGCTTTCTCGAAGTTTCGTCGCCTGCGCAGCGCACCCGCATCGGGGAAATCGTAATGCCTTATGTCGAGTCCATCAACCAGTCCGTCTATGGTCGTCATATGCTGCGTAGAATCGAGACAATGGGCATTCTTCCCCGAGAAATCCTTCGAAAGCAAGGCATGGACCTGAATGCACCCGAATACGGTGGTCTTGTCACTACTACCACCAACAACACAAAAAACAACAGCAATAAAAATATCAGCAGCCACTCCGGCGGTAATGACGCTCGTCATAGTTCTAATGGGAATAATCACCGCAACACGCGGCGAACGAACAACAATACGGTTCCAAACAAACGAAGCGGCGTGAACCAGCAGTCCCCGGCGAACCTGAATCAGTTGTCGAATCTGGTAAATAACAATAATGTCATTCCCGTACCACAACTGGCAACTACATACTCTCCCCATCCCTTCGTTACCATGCAGAGCTATATGCCGATGCGCGGGTACGCCCCCTACACCACAGATCCTTTGTATTCTCTACCGCAGTCGCAGAAGACGGACTTCATTTCTAATCCGCCCCCTCAGCCGTCTTTTAGCTACCCCGCCGCCATGTACGCGACGACCACCGCGACCAACTGCCCATCGCACACCCCCTTCTTCGTCAACGGCGGCTACCCCGCCTCGACGCAGCAGCCCTCGGCGCAGCAGCCGGCACCTTTCATCGGCCTCCCCCCCCCCTCCGGGGGCCCCGCCGCGACAACCCACCCTTCCAACCTGGCCTATTACTCCAAGCCCATGTACGTGGACGGCGGGCAGGTCATGAACTGCAACGCAAACATTCTCAACAGCGGCTCGGCGGACAGCAACTTCAGTAACAGCGGACACATGAACGGAGTGGAGGGCTACCAAGGCCTGTCACAGCCGCCTCAGCCCAATATGGCTGGGGTGCGGTGGTGTAAATAGATATCGCGCGTGGGACCAGGAGGGGAGATGTCCGAGGTCTCCTTCTTTCTTGATTTCCATTCAATGTGACTTTGGTAGGGAGCCAATTGAGGATGCATTGACGTAAACTAGATCCGAAAGCTTAATATGATTCGATTCTCAAACCCCTCTCTAACCAGAGGAACGGGAGGATGTCATCATACCCAAGGGTAACGATATACATAAGTTTACATGCTTACGTTAAGACAACTTTATTTGTGCTAAATTTACCCCCCTCACAAAAAAAATATATAAAGAGCCTTGATGCTGGGATTAAGGAAGAATGAATTGCGTCACGGCTGATCAGAAGCAAGAGTAAATTGTCTCTCTAAACAACTAATGATATGGAGGAGTACAACGATTCCGTTAAATTAGTACTTTTTATTATTATTTAAGGTTTATCCTTTAGGTTTCTCAGGTGTGTTTCCTTTTTGCTAAAAAATGCAACCTACCATTTGAAAAGTTGTGTCTACAGAGCATATAATTTTCCTTTTATACTTTGTATGTATGTTTTCCCTCATCACTTCATTGGAATTTCTGTGCTTGACTTTATTTATTTTTAATTTAGGAGATAACTCAGTAGTAATTTTTACTGTATATCCGTAAAAATGTGTTATATCAACTGTGAGTTCTACATCCTTTTCTTTATCATTGAACAAGATACAAAAATTTATTCCTATATGATAAATAATAGTGTGGAAAAGAGTGTATGAAAAACAGTGTATCAAATGTACACATCGACATAGTCGTTGAATCCTTTTTCCACATTCATATTTCGGGAAAATATGTACCTTAGCTAATTCTCGAAATTTCCTTTGAGCTTGTCCCCTCTCTAATAGATCCCTTCATCTAAACAAAAAAGAAAAGATTGCATAAAGCGCAATGGAATGGCAAATAAGAAGAGATAAGATTGGGTAAGACGAGCCTTGTATTTTTTTGCCTTTCCGGCTCTTAATTGGAAAGAATATATGTTTTTATATTGAATACTGGGCCAAGATAAATTTCTATTTTCCTTTTCTTTAATTGTGAAATGACAATTCTTTCTCCTTTTTTTTGTGTTTTAGTATTTTTGTGCGTGTATGCGCATGTAATCCTGTGTAACATTGTGGATCTAAGGCAATGTAAAAACTCTAATGTTCTCATTCTTGATACTTTTCCTCAGGTTTGATTACTACCCCAAATTGCGTTGTATTCAAAAAGTTATGTAATAATGTGTAGTGTAAGTGAGAGAAAAGGGTACAGTGGGCAAACTGTAGTAACTGCTGGGAAGTATGTTTTTCTTTCTTTCTTATTTCCCATTAAGTGCTTTAGCATGATTCGAGAGTTGGACAATCCAAAAATTTGGATCGAAAATACAACTATTTTACCATGACAATATTTTAGTCAAAAAGTTTTATTGCATTTGCATATTGATTTTTTCATATTTTGTTACTATTTTAGTTTTTTAACTCCTTTATATTCTAGTTGAGATGAACAAGAAAACGCTTATTATTATTTTTAATAAATTGCATTATCTAAGAAGTGTTTGTGCTTCTTTTTTTAGTTTCAATTACCACTTTTAATTTCACCTTTAACAGAATCATGATTTATGTAATCGATGAAAGGGAGTGTATTTTTGCAAACAAAGACTTTGCAAGCATTCCTAAAAAGACTTTCCTTTTTAGCTTCTTTTCTTTTTACTTGCTATGAATAAAAAAGTTAATTTTTGAGGCATTCTACTACTGAAAACTATTTCACAGACAAAAAAAATAATCATAATAAGCTTGTTAAAGCTATAAAGCCACAGTTATTTGTGCGGTGTCAGCTTTATAGTATGATCCGACAGTGAGGTTTACCTGGTGCTAGGGGTAAATATTGGGATACAAATAACATTTTGGATTCCCTTTTTCTTCGTTTGTATTTATATTTTCTGATAACAGATAAGCTTTTTTTTGAACTTATGTTATGGTTATAAGATATTTTCTTGAATTCAAGCTTTTTCATCCAAATAATACACAAGCAACGTGTTTTCCCGCTCTTTTTTCCGAGTAATAATAGAGCATCCATTTTGTGCGTATCTACACTAAATAATAGTATACATATATATATATATATATGTACGCGACCCATGCTTATGCTATTTAAATATATAACGTAGTATGGGGGTTATGTGTTCAGCTTCTTTCTCTTTCCTCAAAAGCTAATGAGTGCTAATACCTTAATCTAATTTCTAAATAAAATAGCTACGTAAGAAGAAGTAGAACCCAAAACTTGCGTATAAAAATAAATGACTCTTTGAAAAAGTAGTATATTTTATATTACATATTTTAATGATCTGGAACACATTCTACATGTATATATATTTTTTCTTCGCATTGGTTGTCCTAATAATATTTGATCATTATTATTTTTGTGTTATGTTTAAAATGTTGTTATCTCTTGAGAACTAGATTGGAATAATAAGGACAAAGTATAAGGGAGGGACGGGAAGACTCTTGAGCGCGAGTTATTTACCATTTCCTTTACGCGAAATATTTCTCCTTTTTCTGCTATTATGCTTTTCTTGATAAATATTCTTTATACAAGTTTTTCCCATTTTCCTTCCCATCCCTGACTTGTATGTTTTGAGTAAGTTTTTTTCATTCCATTCTTCTTCCTGTTTATATAAGAAGTTACACATCTATTCTTTTTTTTATTATGTAACAGCAAATATTAACACATTTTGTGTAGTTGTTATTTAGATTCCTGTATTATTTCGCTGTGAAATTATTATACCAAATAAGAAGCAGGTGGTACATTTTGCAACTTGCATCCTTAAATCCCCACTGCTTATATCACTGGATGTTTCGTCCTGAAAATGTTAACTAGGCGAAATCAAAATATTTTATTAACTTCTTACCAGACCAACATTTTTCGTTTCTCCTTGCTGATGTTTTCTTTTCTTAGGGGCAACATTTTTCATTTTTATTTCTTTTTCGAGCATTCATACAAGGTGTTTTAGGTAGGAGGCATAAACGCCATCCCTGCCGCGGATTACATTGCCCTTTCACTGATACGCACTTTTCCTTCCCCTGCCCCTAAGATTGTAAAATCTATTAAAAGTAATCGAGGGCTCTTCTTGTGTATTTTGCGCAGTGTTGTAAAGTCATTGAGCCATCCCTAGGTCATCGGTAAAGTCTAACGAACAATCCATAGGTTTCAATTATTCACCGTGAGCCCTATAAAAGAAAGAGCTAGGTGCGATACATTTCTGAGCACTAGCGAGTTCGGGATCTAGGCGAGGGTGAGCGTGTAAAAATAACTCCCCACAGAGAGGTACAAAATAGATTTAAACCGACTCTAGGGGACAGTTATATCTAAATATCAAATTTTGCGCACTTCATTAGATAACTTATATATATATATATATATAG